GAGAAATGATAAAGGAGAGAGGAATGAGAAAGGACAGGTAATGACATTTAAGGCCCAAAGATGGGCCCAACATTGATGGCTCAATGATTTTTTAGGCAACATGTCAATTGGTATTTGGTAATCTCTCTCTTTCTTTTTTATTTTATTTTTGGTGAATCTCTCACTGTGTTTCCTTTGATTAAATACAATTATAAATATGGTGCATAAGACGAAAGTTCTTCGATGTCTGCATCTGTCATACAATACATACGCAATCTTTTCAATAAAAATAAGAATCCAAACTGAAGACCCATGTAATGTCATACAATACATGACAGAAGTACATGCATTGTCAAATTCTCAAACATTCTCCTACATGATTAGTACACATCATATGTACCCATTGCCCACTTCACTGTATTGCATGCATGGAACAATGCATGAAATGACTCATCATTAAATTTTAGCAGCATTGCACAAATCATACAATCTTAACAAACATGACACCGTTATAAATATACAAATTTTATCTCGACTTAAATAAACCCTAAATCCTAAACTTAAATATATTTTCAATCTCTTAAATTTAAGATAAATTTATTTTTTTAAAATTTAAAATTGTTATTTTTAATTTTTGTAATTTTTAAAAATTTTATTTTAATCTTTTAAGTCATTAATAACATATTTAAAAATGACTAATTAAGATAATTATACAATATCAACCAAATTTAATGTAATATTTTTACTAATAGAGATACCAATAGGTAAATTTCATGCAATAATATTTGATAAATTTTTTAACAAAATTTAAATATAAAAACTAAAATAAGATTTTTTGAAATTACAAGAATTAAAAATAATAATTTTAAATTTAAAGGACTAAAAACAAATTTACTTTAAATTTGAGGAACTAAAAACATATTTAAGCTGTTTATCTCTGTTATCTGGTACACTCAAATAATTGGATTTTTTTTTTGGCTTCTGGTTAAACCCAACAAAATCAGTTATTTTTCATGTAGGTGTCAGAATTTTAGTACTAAAAGTTCAATTTAATCTAAGCCATTTAACAAGTTTTAATTTTTCTTTTATTACATTTTATTAAGAATAGACACAATTGAAATTTCATTTCATACACTTAGAGTCTATAACATATTTATTTCGTATAATGTGAAGTTTTGAACAAAAAAAATCGTACTTTTATATTATATAGTTCATGTATTTGTATAAAAATAAGTAGTAAGACATGTCTATAAAAAGTAATCAACTATTTGAGCATACATTTAAACTCTCTTAACTAAAGAAAAATCTAGGTCCTTAGTTATACATTTGAACTCTCTTAACTAAAGAAAAATCTAGTCCTTAATTATTTATATACAATATAATTAAATAAGTTTAAATATATTTTAATCTCTTAAAATTGAGATATTTTTTTCCTAAAACTTAAAAAAAATATTTTTAATTCTTATAATTTTAAAAATTAATTTATTTTAATCATCTGTTCAAAATGTCGTTATAGATAATCTGTTCATGCAAAATTTATTTATTAGTATTTTTATTAATAAAAATATTATAAGTATAAGTGACTTTTGTTAATGTCGTAGTTAATTTAAGTTACTAAAAAAAATTTCTTGAAAATATTGGTACTGAATATATATTTTTAATTTGAAGACCTAAAAACTTTATTTTAAATTTGAAAGATTAAAAATAAATTTATATCTTATAAATATATAATTTAAAAATATAATTATACTTTTATATTTATACTTATAGTATAATACACACGTATATGCCTAGAAAAAATTATTATTAATCCTAACATGTTAAAGAGTTAGAATGAATTGATTATCCTTTCAACTTGCATAACTCAATCCGCATAACTAGTCAATCCAACTAGTAAAATGTTAACTTGAGTTGAGTTTTCCTACTGACTTGTATTATTTTAATTTTTTCATAAACTATTTAATTAAAAATTAATTTTTTTTACATAATTTTTATAAAGTATTTTAAATTTCATCTTATTTTGTTGTTCTAATGATAATTTCTATAAAAAAGTATACTAAAAAAGTTTAGTTGTGCGGTAATATTTTTGTGATTGAAATATTATGCTTATTTCACTTTTATTATTTGTTTTTTTATCTCAACTTATGAATCAATTTTCTTTTTATAAAAATTGATATTTACAACCCATTACATGATAGGTTGTGATTTTCAACTAATTTTTAAAATAGGTTTAAACCATCTTGATCTAATTTTTAGTAGGTTAAAAGCGAATTGGATCAAATTAGGGTAATCCATTTGACATGCTTAATATTAAGGCAATAAGGTGAAAAACGAACTCTAGACATAAAGTCACAAACAATAATCGAATAAAAATCATAAGCTACTTAAGAATATATAAGGAAAAAGTGCAAAATAAACAATAATATTTTCTCCGATTCTTATTATAGGAGCCAAATCTTTAAATTGATTTATTCCTTTTTATAAGACCTAATCTATTACGTATTTGACATTCATTTTTACTTTACAAAAATAATCTTATCGAATGCATTAATGAGTTCAATAAATAAGTAGAATTTATTTAGTGAATTTCCCTTAAAATACAAACAATCTTCTATTTTTAATTTTAGAATACAAAAACTTTAAGAACATATAATAAATATTTTATTAATTTATCGGCAATTTAAGAAGAGTTTAAATTTAAGACATATTCATTAATTTTTTAAAATAATTAAATTTTTTAATCTTAGTGAATTAGTTATTTAAATTTTATAATAAAAATGGAAGAGAGTAAAGTATATATAAAAAAAAATCAGGTCTATAGTCAATACACACATTTGAGATAATATGTAATTGGCAACTCAAACGGCATAAAAAAAATGCACAAAAGTAAAGAATTGGTGGTAAAATAGGTTTAATATAGAAAATATTTTATATTCAAATTTTAATCTTATTATAATTATTACGAATAAAAAAAATAAAGTTGCCCTTTACATAATCCCATATCATAATTGTAGCTTATTTTTGAAAAGCTTCACTGCAGCGCCATTTACTTTAAAGTTAGGCTTTAATTTCGGAAAATAATTAAATCAATCAAAAATAAAGATTGTGACTTTTTGAAAATGTTTTTTTATTCTACGTAAATATATTCGATCTCAATTTAATTTTAATTTTAAAAATTAGCATATTATATTAAAATAATAAACATAATTTTTATATCGTAATTTAAATAATATATTTTCATTCCTGAATTTTAGATGATGATTATTAGTTTTGACATAATAAACGTTATAATTTGTCTCAACTTGGGGAACATAGACTGGATAAAGATGAATTTTTAGTGGAACATTAAAACCATTTTGTTTTACCCAGTCGTAGTTGATCTTGGTTTTAAATGCTCCCACATGTGCATATCAATTTGACTCGTGTTTAAAAGATTCCACGTATGAATTTTCTTGATTTTTGCTTATCCTTTTTCCTCTTTCTTTGGGATTCCCTTATTAACCGTAAGAAGATATTTTAATTGCAAAACTGAATTATGACTAATCACCTGAAATTTAGGATCACATAAAAAGTTATATTAATTATCCTTTATTAAATAAATTATTAAATTACTCCATTCAATTCTTTATATAAAAATTAAATACGTACAAGTTTTTGGTCTAATTAAAAAAAAAACTAATGAAACATAGACTTATTTTCAAATTTATATATTAATTGTTAATCTTTTATACCCTTGTTTTATTAAAAAAATTTATAAACTAATTAATTATTTAAGCTATATTAATTTAGTATGCAAAATCACGTTTTTTTACTCATTTTGTTATGTATAATGTCATTGAATATAATTACTGCTTGAAGAACATTCATTTTTTTTAAAATATTTTTAAATAAAGTAAAACCTTTTGATTTCTAAGCTAAAGAAGATCTTTGGTAATGACTAAGGTCTAAGGTTTTACATTTTTTTAATAGATTTTTCTACTTACAATTTAAACAACTTTCTTCACTATTTTTTTTTTCCTTTTGATTTTATTCCTTTTCAGCATTAAGGAGGCACTTGTCAATTATGTGCCTCCCTCCCCCATTATCATGCTTAAATAACAGTAAGATTACTGGAGGAAAAATGGAAAGCAAAGATATGACTGCTCCTTTTTTCTGACTCGTTGAGATCACTATTGTTGTGCTAAATTTGGAGTAAAATCAAACTTGATCTGCATAATTAGCAGTAGCTGCTTTAGAAGCATAAATTTGAGCACTATGAGCCATTCCTGGAAAGGAATAAACAAACACAGTCATCCATTGCCCTTCTAACCTCCCAGATTTGACACTTTGACACTACAATGAATGACGTTGACCCCTCCAACCCTGTTACACTTTTTCTTTTTCTGGATAAATAGTTACACTTCGCCCTTTTTCTTATTATCATTGCAATGACTCAGATCATATCAAATCAACGTGACTACCTAGAGTTTTTTCACTTCTATATCTTACTCAACTTGCACACATATACATAGTAGGTGGGGTTGTGTCACTCTGTACACTGCTCTCTTTCTGACAAAGCAACCCAAATGAAATCACTTTAACGTGCCTTTGTTTCACTGTTGTTACTGAATTAATTTCAATTATATGTCTCACATTTGAGAGTGGTAAGGTAATTTGTAAAAGGGTGGTTGTCATTGATGCAAAGCCACCGCATAATGGCTTGTCCCAGTTATTTCGCCTTGCTTGAATTCTCATAGCGGTGTCAATTTAATGAAGTTGGTGAGTAGGTAATAAATGTGATAACAATTCTACTGCATTTCCCTGAAATTAATTGCTTCTGGCTCTTTCCAAACGCACATTCTCATCAAGCTTCAGCTGAAAACCGGGAGTGGTCCTGATCCCTACTTGGAATGAAATCATTTCGACAGTGAAATTGCGTGGAAGTGGTAATCAAAATGGTACACAATCTAGCACTTCATCCCAAGCTATAAGTTTTTTTTCCCTCTCATTTAACTTTTGATTTTTTTTTTTCTCTTACAAAATAAACCCAAGCCAAACAATTTAAGCATAAACATGCAACCAAAAAAACATCAAAATGTTATACTCTATCCCTAGAGAAAAAGGTGAAGGTGAAAAAAATAAAAAGGATATATAGGTTAAACTGAAATCTCAGCTTTCTCAACCATGTTCTCCTACTCTGTTTCTCTCACTCACTCTCTCTCTTGTAAGTCAAACCTACTTAAGGAAAAAAAAAATGCAATATGTACAAGACGTACGCATAACCAAGGACCTAAGCTAGGCCCCCACAAGAAAAATCCACCATCTTTCTTTGCTTCAACTTCAATTCAACATCTCCTTCTCAACCCCGATGATTCCATCAAAATTAAGCTGAAGGGCATCAAAGTAAAATCCTCATCATTTTTGTTTCGCTTTTGCCCAATTCTCCCATGCATAAATGGATATTGGAGGAGCATCATTTTGGTACTAGCAATGAACACGTATGATAGCGTAATACCACCAAAATCCTCCGTTTCCATTAATGTACCAACTTCAATAAATCTCTTCTCTTTTGCCTCTTGGCCAAACCCAAACATCAATTGCCATTTTTTTCTTCCAATCTCTTCTCTATGTCTGCACTTAGCCAAAACCAAATTAGGATCCATCAATTATGAATTTGGTTGCGGCAAGTGTGAGCGAGCAAAAGCACTTGTATGGTTTGCTTCAGCTTCCCAACACTGTTCAATGTCTTCAGCTATTCTCTTTGCATCCATGGATGCACCAAGTAGTCCCTTTTTGGTAAAACCCACTGCATAGAGACCATTTTTACCTTTCCACCCATTTGGAAATGGTTTTCTTGGGTACCCATCTTGCTTAGAGAACATATCTTCTTCCTGCACAATATATGAATTTAAGAATGCTAGAAATTAAATAAACTTGTTGTATTTAATGTATTTGAAAAGGAACGGGTAAGTGTCATGTGTCACACCTTAAGCCAATAGGGTACATTACTTTTGTAACCAGTTGCCAATATGATTGCATCATAATTCTCTGTCCTTCCGTCCACAAATTCCACTGTATGACGTTTAAGCCGCTTAATGCCTGGACGTACCTACATCAATTTTGAGTTTGACATACTCAGATTTTCATTTGTGCGTTGATTTTCAAACAACGGAAATAATTAACCCCACCAAGCATGATCACAACAATGATTAGTGATCACTGAACAACGTCTTTTGTCCATTAGCTTTCGGATATTTTTTATTAAACAACAACAACCTAAAATTAATAAATTCTAAACCTTATGCTTTCCGCCCACGACTTGATTGAAAACGCACAATGATGGAAAATCCCGAGGGTCATTTCATTTGATTAAATATAAAAAGGAGAGGGGAAATGGAAAATTTTTATGATGAAAAAGCAAAAGAAAAAATTAGGTAGCAGCTAGCATTTGGAAAAAGTACGGTGTAATTTTATTTTATTTTACTTTGCTAAATTATGACTAATTTTGTAAGTATTAGGATTTAGTAAGGTATTAAAATCTTCTGATAAATATTTTTCTTTATATAATTAAACCTTTAACCACATGTTTAAGGGCAATAATATTCACGGATCGGATCACGTGTAAATATATAAAAAAAAATTGTTTGGATAAAGTTTGGAATTAGTTTTAAAAGTTTTTACTTTGAATAGATGAGCCGTAAAAAACAATGTTTACTTTGAAGAGATAAGTCGTAAAAAAGAACACTTTGATGAGCCCAGAGATGTGTTATATGAAGATTGAATATTAAAAGAGAAAGTTGAATTTGATTTGATAAAAAGGGGAAGGGGGAAGTACCTTAATGTCTCCACCTTTAATCTTGGCAAGGGTACCCACATCTAGCACAGGGGTCTTTCCTGACATGTTTTTGAGTTCAAGGGGACCCAAACGCGGCCGATCCAATCCGAATCGAGCAGTGTCACCGAGCATCAGCCATGACACCATTAGCAGAAACGCATCGACAAGTCGTATGGGTAACCACTTCAGCAACCACATGGACAACCCGAAAGTTGATTTTCCCAGCATCTCTCGTGGTAGAACATGTACCTTAACCCAAATTAAACCATGTTAATTAATCACTCATCACACACCCATGCGCGCATGCTTAATTCAAATCAATCCCAAGAAACTGCGAGAACAAGCTTTAAGACACGTGTTCCACAAAAAACAAAAAGCTTCTCAAGTTCCAATGGGTTGTTATTACTAGTTGTTACTTGAAGCCGGTGGGTATATGCTAGAACCAAACCAGGGTTTTAATTATCAACTTCGTGTGCGAGACTAAAAAAGCCAACCTCTGCACTGATTTCCTTTTGTTTTCAGAACGAACACAACAAACAACCCTTGCAGTTTCGTTTCTCCGATGATGTCAAATTCCATGTATATATTACGAACCCCCGACCATTATGTTCGAAATTTTTGCATGAGAAGAAGAAAAAAAAAACTAAACTAAATTAAAAACCCCATCTTTGCAAAACCCATCAGTGTATATATTTCGAAACACGACAAAAGTCAGCAATTAAAAAAGATGTATTGCAAATTAACCTTTTTCATGAATTCCAAATCAGGAGGGACACCAACTTTCGTAAAGAAGAAAAAAAAGTTTTTTTTTTTTTTTTTTGGTTTTTGAGATGAGAGAGTTGTTAGTTCTTACAGTGTCTCTGACGACAAGTGAAGGAGTAGCATTATGGTTGCAAAGATCCAAGCAAACTTCCATCCCCGAGTTCCCACAGCCCACAACCAAAACCTTCTTCTCTCTGAACTCTTCCCCACTCTTATACAAACTGGTGTGCCTTATGGGCCTTCCAAAGTCCCCTACCCCTTGGATATCCGGCACCGCCGCCTCCGCATTCTCGCCGGTGGCCACGATGAGCCAGCGGCACATGTACACGGTGGCGTTCTCCGCCTTGTCGACGCTCCTCACGCGCCAGAAGCCAAGGTTTTGATCAAACTCTGCATGCTTGACGGTCTCATTGAACTTGGGCCTTATACCGAACCTCTCCGCGTAGCGCTCCAAGTAGTCCACGAACTGTTGCTTGGAAGGGTAGGTTGGAAAGTGCGAGGGAAAAGGCGCGAAGGGTAGCTCGCAGAATTGCTTTGGCAAATGGAGGCGTAAGCGATCATAGGTTTTAAGCTGCCACAGAGAAGCTATGCAGTTGGATCTCTCTAGAATGAGGGTTGGGATGGTTTTTTGTTTGAGGCACGCCGCCACTGCAAGCCCAGAAGGCCCAGCTCCTACTATGAGAGGCCCATGAAGCCAGACGGTGGAGTAGGATGACATGAACAACGGGTCATGCGCTTGCTTTCCCTCTATTTCTCGCAGACAATAGTCCATCAAGAACAACAACCCACTCTCACACTTAAATTTGTTGAGTGGTAAAGTAAAATTTATGTTTATGTTCCTTATTAAAGGAGGTTTATGTGCGTGAAAATTGGAGTGGATTAAGAGGGTGTTATCCACTTAATTGTTTCTTCTCTCTTATGAGGAGGGTTAAGCGGGAGGAGGAGCAACAACTACGGGGCTAAATCAGCAGCATTCATCACAGACTCAGAAAGATGGGGAAATCATATATATATATTCATTCCTGTTGCATCATAGAGGGAATTTATATGGACCAAATCCAAGTGGTAAAAACCATGGTGGGGACGAGTTGCATAATATTTAAGTACTATATCATGATTTGAGCTAGATAAATAAATGCACTTAGCTTTGGTGGGGATTTTACGGATTTAACCTCGCGCAGCAACGTCACTGTGATCGTCAATGGCTTGCACTTGCACTTGCACTCCCACAAAATAATTACTCTACTCTCTTTTCCTTTTTCAAGTGGTTAACGAATCCAACCGTGATATACTGATATCAGCTCCTCCGCTTTATAACGGAAGGACTGACTCAGCTTCCCCTCGGTGGTTTCTTAATTCTATCCCAAATATATAGCCACGTCACTGCTATATTTTCCATTTTCAAATACATTTCAAACATCTTTTTTGTTTTATTTTTTATAATTATAAAAAATATTTTTTTAACTGTACTCTTTAAATTACCTACCACACCTTCCCTCTCTTATTTACTTACTATTTTAAATAAATAAAATTATTTAAATGAGAACACTAATTATTCAGTCTAACTGCCTATTTAAATATACTTAGAATTGTTGATTAAAAATTTTATAGTAATGAATTACAGATATTGGAAAAAAAAAATTGCTAACTAAAATTGCATGCAAAATAAATGTTTTTTTTTAATTCAGAATAAATAATTATAAAAATGTATCATATATTTTTTTATTTGATTAATTTATTTTCACTTTATAAAAAATTATTTCATTAAAAAAATTTATAATAGAATAAGGTACAACTTCATGAAGGTAAGAATAAACTACTAACCTCTTTGAAAATTAAAATAATTATTAAAACTTACTTTGTAAAAAAAAAATAAATAAATAAAAGGTATTCAGCACTTGTTTTCAAAGACTTAAAACACACATAATAATTGTTTTGTCTGAGCTTACATTAATTTATCTCTATCTATTAAACTATAATAATTTGAATGAATGTGACTTGACTTATTTGCTTTGTTAGATTTTGAATTCAAATTATCTTTGTAGATGTTTTCATTTTAAATTTTAAATACATTTTTTTTCTATTTTGATTTTAAGTTTTTCATTTTAATTTATGTGAATTTTGTATATTGTTCATATCAACATATATCTATGATTGACACCTCTAAAATTTGTACATATTTTTAAAATAAATATTACTTATTTATATTGAAATGGATGTTATGAACAAAAACCTATAACTTTAAATTTTAGTATAATGAAAATCAAAGAAAATATTTACAGTGATAACAATTTATATATTATCATTTCACAAACATTAAAACTAAAATATGTTTATTTTATTTAGATTTAAAATATATTTAAATCTTTAAATTATTATTATAAATTTTACTGAGGACTGTCAAAGGTCTCAATTTTTATTTTCTCTGTTTTTTCTTTTGTTATCTATTCGCTCAAGAAAAATATTTTATTTTTATTTATTTATTCACTTAGAAGTAGGTTCGAAACAGCAGCAAATACTATCTTTCTAATTATGTCTTTTTTTTTATACCTAATTTTGATATATTTTGTATACCTGTTATATAGTATAAATGAGAGAGAGAGAAAAAAATAAGGTTATATTAGATGAAAAAATATTTTAGAGCTTAATAATTATATATTGTTAATGTAAAAATATTTACACAATTAGTCAACCAAAATTTGTCATTAATGTAAAATATTTATTATGAAGTTAACAAATTTATGGAAATTTTTTTCACAAAAGTCAACAAATTGTTTGTGATTAAATAATTATATAAAATTATTTTATATTGTGAATACATGACATTTTTTTTCATGTGTTGAACTTGAATATACATACAAAAACTAAGTGTATGGTAATAATTATATTTTTTGTTAATCTATGAGAATCGAAATGAATACTAAAATATTTACAACACTAACAAATTCTACTCAACAGACTGAACTAAACTCCTTCATTTATATTCTTAGTTTGTGTTACTGGTATTTTCATAATTAGGGAGTAATTACTCCATTAAAAATTAAATTAGTTAATGCTTTTGAATTTCGAAACTAAAGCTAATTAAAGTTTATGTAGGGTCATGAGAAAGCAATAATTTGAGGTTATTGTCAATTGGCAATCTCATTAAATAGTAATAGATCATACCACATTCCCTTGAACTCGCCGAATCGCCAATGAGTGGCCTAATCATGGAAAAGGATATCAAGAGAATAAATATACGCAAATGAAGGCCATATAAATAAATGACATGGAAAAAAGGAGGGCCACCCTCGGACTTGACATATTCTTCATGGTCATTACTTAACCCAATAGATTTTTATTTTTTTTATTTTAATGAAACCTGCTTTCTTACCTCTATTTTATTAATATTAACTTACTGGAGTAATTAATATTAACTTGATCCATTTATTAATTAACTACTTTTAATTAAAAAAAATTGTCTTACTAACCAGTACCCTAAATATCTTAATTTTATTGGTTAACATTTAACAACAAAATATCAGTTAAAAAAAGTGATATTTTATTGAAAATTATAACATATTATTATATAAGAATATAAATATCATCTGCTTCATTGTTTTTTTAATAATTTAAAGCATTTAATAAATTTTAATAATATTTTTTTAACTTATATCCTTATTAGTAAGTAATACAATTATATATATATATATA